AAATTAAATTTGATCTAATTTTTGTAATCATCAATTACCAAAATATATTAAGAGGACGTATTACGCACGTAAACAGTTGGAATAGTTATTTTACCATGAAAGATAAGTTTTCAATAATTTAACTCTAAATACACATAAAAATATCTTCGTTACACACGATGGGGTTTTCAAGATTTTAGTTAATTTTTATCATTAAAATTTGTGATATTTCCAGCTTCGGTTTAGGACTATGTTTTAAGTTTGACAAATAATCAATCTTTATATGCATGTACCACATTTGTTTAAATGAAAATTATAATTACCATATTTAGATTTCGAATTTAAAATATCTTCAATAGAAATTGGTGTATAAGATTTTATTTCTTCATGGTCTTGAATCTTTCCAATGACATTTACGACTGTGTAATCTTTAATTGTCAAATCCATTTTGACATTTCCCAAACTTGTAAAATGACGAAATTGAGAAAAAGCTCCTGATATATGTAGTATCTATATAGTAATAATAAAATTTAAATATATATGTAAATACAGGATAGGACATTTAAAACGAAACATCGAAATATATCGAAAACTGAATTATGCATTTTCTTTAGACTAATTGATCTTTTTAACTAATTTAATTTTTGACTAATTTATCTCATTATTTTGTGCATAAAAGTATTAAGGTATGATTTATTAAAAGATGAATAGTTTATAGGATATTTTATATTTTTTAAAAGTATCAGCAGCAAAGAGAGTTTCAGACAATAATATACAAATAATTTCAGAAATGACATACAAATGAAGTTTTGAAGTTATGTATGACTCGTTCTATATTGTTACCCCATATGGTAACTTGAACCTTCCAATCATTGTTATTTGTCAAAATTATTCGGCAGCGTTCAACTTCACCATTTACACTTTTGACAGAAACTTTACTATCAATTCGCTCCACCATACTGATAAAACATCTTAAAAATATAGAAACATTACATATGTATAGAAATTATGAATGCACTGTTTGAAAGAGGGCAAATTTTAATAAATTTTAATGACATTAAATACGAAAAAATATATTAAAATTTCGTGTACGTGTACACAAATACAAACACTGTTAGAAATGCTTTCCTTTACATGTAAATAAAACTTGTAGTTACGTGCGAAATTAAAAGTAACGAATGATTTAACTGAAAATTAAGTTACAGTAATTTTATTTAAATATAATAAACGTGTGTATTAAATTTCATGTAAAATTATATAAAATTTACTAAAAAGTATACTAAATTTTATAACATTTTATGAAAAATATTGTATATTGAATTTCTCTAAATTTCGTACAAAATACATTAAATTTCATGTACATTAATCGAGTCCTTCGAGTGTAGGAGGGTGGAGAAGTGTGTAGCTCCCAGTGGTATGTATGCGCGCTCATCTACACCCAAGTGCGACTAAAATGAGACCCGATTATTGAACAGTAGTGTACATGTACACAAATATACTTTTTAATTACAAATACATTAAATTTAATGTCAAAAAATTAAATTCAAATTGTATATAACTTAAAAGTACATTAAATTACATGAAATTTTTAATCTATTGTTATAACACTGCGCATTAGATTTCATTATAAATCCTTTATCAACAAATTAAAAAATTTCACAAATTCAACAACAATAACGTAATTGGTAAGAATAAATCCATCTATGTGACTAAAAAGTTAAATACTAACAACCAATTTTTTAATACTTACACTACTGTACCATCATTAGGTAACATTACATCAAAAAATTCTCTCGATGAGATATATAATATTGGATTGACACACAACTCATGATAAATATCATCTAATTCAGAATCCATTTTTATAGTTTTATCCTACAATTTTTAAATAAGGAATGTATAAATACAAAATACAAATGTAATATAACATTTGAAAATAAAAATATAAATAAAAACTAAAATTTCACAAGTATAAGAAAAAGTATTTTAAATTTATATTTATAATAGCATGATTATTTACAATAGTATAACAATAAGTATATAATAATATTAACCGTAACTATATGTATTTATTTTAATGAACGACACAATTTAACTTTCAAACCGTACACCTCCCTTGAGCACCTACTAACGGAACACAGGTGCGAATTGGGATTTGATACTTTTAATTGCAAGTCTCTCTTGAAGATCAAAATAGAAATTTCTTTAAAACCACTTTTTTCTAAGGTAGAATTTTCTCACAATGATATCATTCAAATTTACTGAAAAAATTATTTTGCAATGGAAAATTTATTATAAATAAATTATCTTTTTGATTACTGTCAGCAAATTGAAAATTTTCGTGGTGCAAATTCGCACTTGTGTACGGTTTGAAGATTAATTGTGTGTTTCAACTTAATATACAAGCTTTTAAATATTTACAACTATTACATCAGAATAGAATTTTATAATTTTATAAATACTATTATTGTTACGTGTTGTTGATTTTCTTGGGAAATGGCCTCCTTTAATACAATTTAACAAACACCAGAAATCCAAAAGATAATAGTTTGTTTCCTGTATGTATATCCGTCGCGAAAGTTCAAAAAATAAATAACAGTTTATTTGTTTTTATTTGCATGGCAACATTTCGCTAAAATTTTAAAATTAGGACGTTTAGAACAACAACTACTCACCGTTTGCTCAGTGTGTTCTTTCATATGATTGGTTTATAGTTTAGAATCTAACGAAATATACCAATCAGATGAAAGAGCTTACTGAGCGCTCAATGAGCGGTTATTTTTCTGAATGGGTACATCCAGAAGCACAACCGCTCACTAAACGCTCAGTGAGCTTTTTTATCTTATTGGCATATTCCGTTAGATCTAAAAATATAGACCAAACAGATACAAGAGCTCAATGAGCGCTCAGTGAGCGGTCGTGCTTCTGGATGTACCCAATGCATCTAATGCGTGTATCCGAAAGCGATGACCTTTCGGATGGCACTTTCATGGCACCCTGCGGTCCACTTGCTTCTTGCAAATGCTTTGAACACTACGCTCTAAACCTTACGGTTGGATCGGTTCATTATTGTTCCGAATGTTACAATCGCTATATAAACGCTCCAGTCAATCCATCTCCCGAGGTGAGGCAGCGGGAGCAAAAACGATGACATATCAGAGTTGCTGGAAGCGTTCCGAAGCGTCAAATGGACCAGTCATTGGCCACGTTTACACCCAGGGTTCGATCCGAGTCAGAATGTAAGAACCAACCAACTGCAGTCGAGCATTCCCTTGTCATTCGACTGTAACTGAGGAATACTCGACTGTAGTTGGTTGGTTTTTACATTCTGACTCGAATCAAACCCTGGGTGTAAACGAGGCCATTATAGTGCTACAAATGCTCTGTAGCGTTTGAAGTGCTAAGTGGACCGCAGCTATAATCGGGTTTAATATCCGTAGTTATAAAACTGGCCAATCACAATCGTTCCATTCTTCTGAGGAATAGCTATGATTGGCTAATTTTATAACTACGGATATTATTAAACTAGATTAAGGGCGACTGTTACCAACGCCGATTAACTTAATCGACGGTTAACTCAATCAGCAGAATTATCATTATAGATAGAAGATTTTCATTACTTTTATCACAATTAAGTATAGGAACGCATAGAGAGAAGTATATCACGAAGAGATATGGTAAGGTTAAGAACGATATACAGTCTTGCTGTTGACTACATTACATATTGAGTTAAAAGTCGATTAAGTTAATCGGTGTTGGTAACAGTTGTCCTAAGGGTGCAGTGTAAATGTAGTCTACAAGTTGTATAATCATAGCATGCTGCTGAAACAATGAGCATCCGATATTAAAACGCAATATCGATTTATATAAGATACCTACTTGTTAGTCTAGCGGCCTTAGCCCAGATTCTCAAGCAGACAATTCTCTTTTTTCCAATATACGGATTCTTCTTCTTTTTTCATATAATGGCCCTAGTCTCCGTAAGCGGGGTAAACATGGCCAGACGTATCCAGGTACAGTCAAAGCCGGCAACGTTTTATAAACAATAGATAATGCTGAGACGTGACGAAACACGTCCGTCTCAGTTCACGATCTCAGGTCAAGCGATTCTCAATACACGAATTAAACAATTTCAAAAAATTAGGTTGACTTTCCACAATACTCAGATCGAAGCACGTCCGTCCGACTGAGCCACGGAGTAATAAGAAGGAGATCAAACTCAAGCGGCACGAAAAAAGTGAACTCGAAATATGAGGTCTGTTCTTTTTGGCTGAACTTTTGCACTAGTTCATCTTTCCTCCTTTTCTCTCCAGAAGGAAACAAGAGAAAGAAAGATGAACTGGTGCAAAAGTTCAGCCAAAAAGAACAGGTCTATTGACGCGTTCGCGCCTGTTTGTATTACTACACCATGAAACAGTTGCTTACATCAATTCACAGATTCACTAACGCATCGAAAGCGCCTAGAAATGGCCGCAACCAATCACGAGGGCGTGCCCTTATATTGATTTACATAAGATGCTCATTGGTCCAACGGTCTTATGTTTATGCTCTATTATGCATTCCATGTGCGATAGGCTTAAGGCTGTAGCACAGACTTTTATATAACGCGTAACGTATAATGCATAAGCGAATCATATATGTAGTACTACATCTATGGCCGTGGTCCGAATCATGCTGACAACGCTCATGAGCATTGTTTGTCTTCGTTTAACATTTGACAAACAACAAGGATGAAATGATTTTTAAGCGTTGTGAGCGTGTATCGGACCGCGGCCTATGTAGTATTACATATATGAAGCGAATCAACAAATTGGAATCCTTCCTTTCCTCTTACTTCACAGAAGAGAAGCATTTTGATTGGTTGATTTTCTTGTGCACTATGCATCATGCATTATGCAAAAGTCTGTGCTGCCATTATCGCGCGGCAAAACGCGACGCGGTAGCCAATAAACTTATAGCTTCTGACAAGTTCATTGGTTATCGCATCACATCTTGCTGGGCGGCAAATGTTTCTGCATCCAATGTGCAGAAACCACCAACTCTCGATGGAAACTTATAGCATTTTCGAATGGAGTGGGTTTAAACTTGATCCCGGTCGGATCAATGACGTCACATGCTCTACTTTGATTTCTGATTGGACAAGGTCATAAGCGGCTCCGCACAATAAAAAGAACAGGGAACAGAGAACAGAGAATAAGAATTTCAACCTATCAGAAATCATGTATTGTGGAATACGCAGTGTGTATTCCACAATTTTTGTTGAAATTCTTATTCTCTGTTCTCTGTTCCCTGTTCTTTTTATTGTGCGGAGCCCCTTATACTTTCGGGTCAAACATGGATTAACCGACCTGGGCCTGGTTCAAACCCATTGTATTCGAAAACGCTATTAGGCTGCGTCTTCATGGAGATAAAAATAGCGAAACAGACCCAAAACGGAATTATTCTGATTGGCGTTCCACTGAAACTGCTCCATCGGAATGTACCCTTAGCCAATCAAAATAATTCCGTTTTGGTTTTGTTCCGCTATTTTTGTCTCCATGGGGACGCAGCTTTATTCACTTTCAAGCAAATTAAAAAGTTAAATGAAGAAGAAAGAAAGAGGAAACAACCTATAAAAAGAAAGTACGTATATCAAATTTAAATTGTTATATAATGTACTGTTCATATCGTTCACATTAGAGATCAATAAGGTAGTTCTATGTCATTCTAAATGTTTTAGCTGTGTGAATATTGATAATTAATAGCGTTTTCGGTCCGTACAGGGTTAAATCGGCATGAATTGGAATAGAGTACCATTATTGATTGACGTTATAATATCAACCAAACGTTTAAAATGACGGGCCGAAAATGATATAAATCTATAAAGACGTTGAGTTTTACGTTGTAATAAATTCATAATATTTCGCTTAAAAAAATATATTAAATAAACTTAAGCAACTTTTTCAATTTTAATACTTCCAGTAATTTTTTTATGCATACTTTTTTAGTTCCTTATGTAACATTTAATTTTCTTAAATTTTAAACAATAAATAATTAATAGTGTCATATCGAGAAGCAATATTTTTTGTATTTACACACATTTAAATAGCAGACCCTTGCGGTATTCAGCTATAAGCGGGGAGCACAGACTCTTGCATAACGCATAACACGTAATGCATAAGAATATGTACCAATCGAAGTTCTCCGTTTCTTTCCCTTCCATGTAATAGAGAACTCTGGTTGGTTCAATTTCTTATGCCTCATGTGTTATGCGTTATGCAAGAGTCTGTGCTCTCCGCTATAAACTTTTGGAAATTATATTATGCAGCGTTCAGTTAAGCTCGATAATCGACGGTCGCGAACACGGTCCTACATATCGCATCGCAACGTCTCAACATTTGCGATGTTATAATATGGCTAATGTAGAATTAGCTTCATGTACATTTATCATTACTATCCTACAATAGCTATAAGCGTAGTTATAAGTGACTGTATTTGCAAGGATTGATTAATTTAATAGAATATTAGAAGAATATTTGATTGTAATTGGTTAGTTCTTACAAGTACAAACCACTTATAACTACTCTTACGACTATTAGCATAGTAGCGTGTAAACGAAAATATTCATCTTTTACATATTAGGTGTTAAATTTAATTCCTGCGTTTTTCGTCTCCAAAATTTATTTGTTTTGAAAGGAAGATGAATGAATACCTTAATCAAAGTAATTTCCTCCATTTTCTACTTTATTACTAATTAATAATACTTTATTAATAATACTTTGATTAAGGTATTTCCCTTCGAAACAAATCAATTTTGGAGACGAAAAACGCAAGAATTAAGTGTTGTACCGCTCCGGGTGCAATGGTGCTGCTCCGGGCACCGTTTGTATAATTTACGGGTTATGCTGGATTCACATTGCATCCGATTTTCGTCGTACGACGCTATGCAAACAATCAGAAAACAGGATTCCGATGGATTTTGCTTCGTATCACCGGAATCCTGTTTTCTGATTGGTTGCAGAGCGTCGTACGACGAAAATCGGATG